TCGTGGTAGTGGTGGTAGTAGTAGTAGTAGTAGTAGTAGTAGTTGTTGTTGTTGTTGTTGTTGTTGTTGTTCTTGTTGTTGTTGTTGTTGTAGGCAGCATCCAGTAGTGTGCGGCTAGTAGTTAGTAGCTGGTAGCTAGTAGGTAGGAGTTGGGTAAGTAAACTTGTAGATTGTAGTTAGTAGTTTAGAGTTATTAGAAGTAGTAGTAGTAGTCGTCGTCGTCGTCGTCGTGGTTGTAGCCACAACTACAACTACAGCTGCTACTGCTACTGCTACTACTACTACTACTACTACTACTACTACTGCTACTGCTACTGCTACTGCTACTACTGCTGCTTGTGCTGCTACTCAGTGAACATATGAGAGGCAGTCTTACTCTGCAAGTAGTGGGCAGTGCCGACGTAGTATGCGCGCCTGAAACCGGGCTACTGCACAGCCGCCACGCGGATAGAGGCCATGGCAAGCGCCACCTCAGCAAGGACTTGTCCATGGAAGTGGGCGTGTAACTTGGATGCCTCGATGTTGAAGTTTAACTAGGCCGTTGGCAGCCGTAGCTTTGAACGGCCTTGGGTTGGGCAGGGGAACTGTTTATGTGTCGCAGGACAAGCAGTTTATGTGGATTCATGAAGCTGTTTCCTTCGTGGCGAAGCTTCAAGCTTAGCGTGCACGTCCGTTAGCCGATCACAATTACCCCTACACAAATGCATTGCTCTTGCTCGACATCTGAGATCCGGTCAGTTCAGGGTGTGGGTACTTGCTGGAAGCTTGGATAAGCTTGGATTGCTAGTTGTTGGAGACGATCGGCCGCATCCACTGCTCGTCCTGCCTGGGTGGTTTTTATGGCGAAGTTCCGCAACTTCACCTTCCTATCCTGTATCATCCTGTATCTTTGGAGAAGGTACTGCCCAACGTTGATCTGCAGCTCCATGACTACGGCGGCCGACCTCCTGCGCATCATGGTTTCCCAGCTACAGTGCGCAGTGTGGGCTCACAGGGGGCGCTTTCAGGCGAGTGTATGAGGGTACATCATAGCATAGTATCGCCCGAAATACTTAGCCGGAATGGCTGAAAATCCAGCAAAAAGCGAGACTGACCGGTTGTCCTGTCACCTTCCTGGAGGTGGCTTGGGAACTTCCGGGTGCTTCTGAGGTTTGCTTTTACCTAGGTCCCCAGGCCAAGAAGACTCCCTGATTTTTCTAGTCCTGACCCCGAAGCCTGCCTGCAACAAGTATTCTGACAGCACGGTCCAGCGTCAAACAGCTGCTTGCAAAAGAAGATTGGGGGCTCTTCCTGGAATCAGCACAATTATTTTGCATACTTACGAGACCCGATTGAGAAAAAAGCAATGTGATTCTCACCAGCTGCAATGCCCGAAATGAGTATTGAGAGAGATACTTCTTTGTACTTCGTTGCATACCGGAAGAATCAGGTATAGTTTTCGGCAATGCCCGAGTCGGACTGGTCTGACCGATTTTATTGTCCTTGCCGTTAAGAAGGTTGTTCCTGTAGGCAGGTTCTTGTGAAAAGACTTCGAGGGCATCTGCTGCATGGAACAAGGATGTAAAAGAAGCCTCAATGGCTTAAAGCCATGTAATCGAACCCTTCGCCGCGGAGCTTTTAGAATATGCGGGCAGTGGCGCCCGATACTCTGGGGCTGGAGACCTCGAGGATGACTGCCCTGCACACGTCCAGGGAAACGCTGGAGTTGGCAACCCTGGATACTCCTGTCCAGGGCGGGTAAACCCCGAAGCTCAACAGCAAAGCCCCGACTGATGCTATAGCGCGATGAAGCATGCCGACATGGATGAGAAGCTCGAGAGTTGTATGTATGGGGCGGAAGGAGGCTATGTGATAAATCCGTTTCGATGGTGGGAGTTGGTGATGCAAGAGTCGACGTGGAGGACGAACCGTAGAGAGCCACGCCACAAACTTGGAGCGAGCCTTGCGGCCGTAAACCCGGAACAGCGTGGCACTACATGCTGTTCAGCGCAGCCGCAAAGCGAAAAGTAGAGCACCAAGCGTTGACACTGACCCGAAACCCCTGAAGCCTTCAAGCCTAACATGTCGAACAGTTTATTCCGTCAGCCTCAGCAAGGTGGGCATCGCCGGCCACAGCAACTGTTGGGTCACCCTGTGTGCTGCCGACACTCTCCGTCCAGCACTTCTAGGCGAGGTCGGCGTCGTTCGGGTCTGCAGATTTCTGTTTACAGGCTTTGGGATTTGTAGGCGCGCACATACACTAGTGCGAATCAGGGTAGTTTTGAGGGACTTAGGCCTCACGTCTTCCTTTTGGTTAGGTGCGACTTACGAGCGCTGTAGCAGCAGCCGCACTAATCATCGTATTGAGAGTGGTACTTGTATTGGGAGTAGTGGTGCCGGAGATGGTGGTAGCAGTGGCAGTAGCAGTTGTAGCCAAAGTAGTCACATGTCAGACTTCCTGGTCGAGCTCTTCTTCCGGCTTCGCAAAGTCTTGCTGGGTGCGCAGGTCCGGGACTTGCACAGCTTGAAAGGCCGAATAAGAGGGCTCTTGCTCGGTTCACCCTACAGCCGGGAATCTTTGTTCACCCAGTGTCCGTTAATAAAACGTCGAACTTCAGCCGGTCACTTGGCAGTGTTTGGCTTTTTCCACGGTTCCGGATATGGCCGGAACCTGACAGACCTGAGGATGTGCAGGCAGGGGTTTCTTCTGGGAATGCTGGCATCTTGACATCTAGATTCTAGATCTATGGCAGAATCTTGGGCCATCAGTGGACTCTTCAGTGATTCCAGTGTTCCATGTTCGTGCGTGTGCACTGAGCGAAGAGAGTGCTAGGCGACACTGAAGCCGCCAAACCCCAGGAGCATGCTGGAGAACGCGACATCATCTTCGAAGGCCATCGCTCTAGGGAAGTGCATTCAGCTTGATCAGGAGCCGGCGGAGGATGAGAAATCATCTTCTCAGGCTTAAGAGGAATTCCAAACTTGAACCGATCCGGCCATGGAAGGCACAGACAGAAACCGTTCATGCAGCAGCTTTCTTTACCGCTTGCAACGTCTCGGAACGAGCTGAATGTGTACCTGGACTCCGAGACTCCGGCAACTGGACCAAGATTCACATCTTTGGCAAAGATGTTGCACAGCAAAGGTTTCCAGAGTAAAGATCACCTCGTCCCAGCCGACGACTTCAAACCCTCCCAGTGATCTCCAGAAGGCATTCGGCTGAAGCCACGCCGTGCAGTCCCGAGTGTCATCCTGGTCAGCGCCGTCCCCCTGGAGGGCTTTGTTACCTGGATTGGACAGGAGAGGTGTGTCTGTTTCAGGTTGGCGGCTGGAACCTTCTTTATTTAGTTGCGCGATTGACCGGATCGGCGTACGAGCATTTGAGTTGCTTCTATGTAGACCAAATGCGCACAGTCTTCTGGCAGTGGTTGAGGCATGGAGGTTCTGTGTGTCAAGGATCACTCGTCTAGGTCTACGGTTCCCAAGTTCGTTTATGAATGGGGCACCCAGGCCCGTACATCAATGAGTTAATAAGTTGCAGAGTGTTGCAAGAAAGAAAGACATGAAAGAACCAATGAATTAATGCGTGAATGAATGGCATGGAATCAAACGAAGTGGAAAGGAACGGAGGTGAATGAATGAGACAACGAGGGAATGCATGAATAAGCACATGGACGACTCAAACAGTGCAATGGACATGAATGAATGCATTGATGCATTCATTGATTGATTGTTTGCTTGATTGATGGATTGATTGTTTGGGTGATGGAATGGTTGTTTCATTTGACTGACTGACTGACTGACTGACTGACTGATTGATTGATTGATTGATTTATTGGTGGAATGACTGCTTGACTGATTCATGGTTTTTGTTGATGGATTGGTTGATTGATTGATTTATTGAATTCTTGTTTTATTGATGGATTGATTGGTTGATTGGTTGACGGAATGATTGTTTTGTTGATTGCTGGAATGTTTAAATGACTGATGGAATGATTGATTGAAAGAATGAATGATTGATTGATCGACCGTATGGGCTGATTGACTGGTTTATGGATTGATTGATTGTTTGTTCACGTGCTAGCTTCATTGGTTTGTTGATTGGATGGTGGATCGAACAATGATTGATGGGTTGAATGAATGTTTGAATGATCGACTGAACGAACGAATGAATATCGTGAAAGGTATGCAAGACACGTCTAAATCAAATGGTGGAAACAAGCGAAATGAAATTCAAGGCAATGAAATGCAACGAGTTACATGGAACGGAGTGGACTGTGATCGAACGGAATGGAACGAATGGGATGACATGGAACGGGACGAAATGAAATGAACGAATGTATGAAGGAATGAAGGAATGAAGGAATGAACAACGACAGAATGAATGCAACAACGACTGACCGACTGACGGATCGACCGGCCGACTGACTGCCTGCCTGACTGGCCGACTGAATGACGGAAATGAACGAATGAATCTATGGATGGATGGAGGGATGGATGGATGAATGTATGGATGAAAATGAGTGATGATTGCGCGAAGGATCGGACGAAGGCACAGACGGACCGACGAAAGAAATAAGCACATAGTGCAGGAACCATATAACGAATGAATGTATGTAATGTACGCAGTGAATAAGTGAATGTATGTATACATGTGCGTATGTGTGTTTGCATGTGCAGATTCATTTTGGTATGGGTTCAACAACCTATGTTACAAAAAGTCAACACTGCGTTACATCGTGTCAGGTCTTCGTGATGTTGTTATTTCCACCTAGATATGATAACCTTCGGCACACAGTCGTATTCAGTTGCGGAGGCACTGCTTTCTTGAGTCCGAGGCATGAGGGCGAAGTTACGCCTTAGCTCAGCCGGCATGATACATCGACTCGAGGGGTCATAGCTTGAATGAGCAAAGCAACCACAAGGCCGCAAGGTCACAAATAAATGGCAAAGCTACGCCATCATCACCAGTGCATACTGACTTGTCACCATCACCAGGGTCGTCGCCGTCACCGCCCTAATTGGCACCTTATCCTTTGTTATCGTATCATGCTCAGCTGCAGATCGTCGTCTTGCTGCTTGCACCCATCCTTTAAGCTTTGTTTCTCTTCGGGCGTACATGACCTGCCTGCTGTGGCCATCGCGCAAAGTTGCGTTTCAGCCTTTCTTGGTTTCTGCTGAACCGCCTCATTGCATTGAATTTTCGAGCTTCTTGCATTGGTGTGACGTAAGTGCCAAATTTATAATCCAAGGCATCCATTTTGCGCCCGTTGGCGGTCGTGGCCCCCGCCACTTTGACGCCATTTTAGTTGCCAGGTCCGATGTTGTGCCTGTCCAAGCCGCTACTGGTAGCTGGCAAGGAACCAGGAATCCTGCCTTTCATCTCAGGATATACATCGCATCATGGAGGTCGGACTTCTGGCTGGCGGCTTCGAAGACCGCGTGGTGAAGCTTGGATACTGAGACGGTGGTGCTTTGCGTGCCACTAGCAGATATTGCCTTCGTTCGACCACATATGCTGGGATGCATCTGTGATGCCAACGCGTTCGACGGATCTCCCATCTAGCCCGCAGCCCGGGTGCATACGTCACAATCACCTCAACATTCAGCTAAAGGTATTGACTCCCGAACCTCATAAATCCCCGAGATGAAACATCCAAGCCTAGGACACGGACGGCTCGGCGGATTGCATCTCGGCTGCGTGAAGTGAACTTCCTGAAGGTGTGTGCCAGAGGTTTGTGAGGATCCCCATCTGCACACTTAAATCACATGTGGCCAATGGAGAGTGGTCGAGATTTGCGAGAAACAGTGGTCGGGTCAACTGCAGAGCTCCACATACCTCCGAGCCGATCCCTCTGAACTCAAGGGCCAAACTGCTATGGCCTAACATTAAACATGACTTGTTCGGACAATTTGCGCTGCTCAGCCTGCATCTCGGCACACCACTGGAATGCTAAGGCCGAATTCTTCCGACATGTCGCCACCTCAGCCTTAAGCATGTATGGCAAGAGGCTTCGACGTTTTCTGTCAATTGGCATAGGATATGTCTGCCAATGAGATGGGCAGCAACATCTTGCTAAACCATGCCACAACCGTGATATTTGATGCTGAGGAGGTCGAGGATAAGGAAGATGTGTTGGAGGGTTGGGCGGGTTGGCATTCGGCCACATACATAAACGTTTATAACAGCATGCGCTTGTGACGTGTGCATATGCTTGGTGTCTAGCACTTCTGCAAGTCCTCAGCTGTCAAAGCTCTGTGAGCACTGAAAGTAATTGCTGTGTTATGTTGTTTGGCACCTGTATAGCGACCTGTCAAATTGAAAGACATGAGTAAGAGCATGTCTTTCAGGACCCGAAACGTAGTGAGCTATGCTTGCGACGGGCAAACTCCGGGCAAACTGTGATGGAGGCTTGTAGAGGTGCTGAAGCACAGTTTGTTTGTCATACGTGGGTTTAAGGGCAGAAAACCATCGAACCATATCGTGTGTGGTAAGCCTGCTCATGTAGTGGTCGTCGTCGTGTGCCAGTTATAGTAGTTTAGCCGTAGCCGCACCCGTAGCTGAAGCAAGAGTAGTAGAAGTTAAAAGTAGTAGCAGCAGCAGTAGTAGTCGTCGTCACAGTAGCAGGACTAGTAGTACAAGTAGTACTAGAAGTCGTCGTCGTCGTCCTGGTCGCGGCCGTGGTAGTGGTGGTGGTAGTAGTAGTACTAGTCGTCGTCATAGTAGTAGTACATAGTAGTGCAAGTCAGTAGTAGTGTAGTAGTAGTAGTAGTAGTAGTAGTAGTAGTAGCAGCAGAAGCAGCAGTAGCAGCAGCAGGAGGAGTAGTAGTAGTAGCAGTAGGAGTAGTAGTCGTAGCGGTAGTGGTCGTGGTCGTGGTCGTGCTGGTGGTAGGTGGTAGGTGGTAGGTGGTAGGTGGTAGGTGGTAGGTGGTAGTGGTGGTAGTGGTAGTAGTGGTAGTAGTAGTAGTAATAGTAGTAGTAGTAGTAGTAGTAGTAGTAGTAGCAGTGGCGGTGATAGTAGTAGTAGTAGTAGTAGTAGTAGTAGTGGTGGTGGCAGTAATGCTAGTATAGTAGGAGTAGTAGTAGTAGTAGTAGTAGTAGTAGTAGTGTAGTAGTATTGTAGTAGTAGCAGTAGTAGTAGTAGTAGTAGTAGTAGTAGTAGTAGTAGCAGTAGTAGTAGCCGTAGCAGTAGCAGTAGCAGTAGCAGTAGCAGTAGCAGTAGTAGTAGTAGTAGTAGTAGTAGTAGTAGTATATAATAAGTTTAGTAGTGGTAGTGGCAGCAGGCGCACAACAAAATAGTCGCCGTCGTAGTGGTGGTTGTAGTGGCAATGGTGGCTGACGTAGGAATCACTAGAGCTCTTAGCATCTGGAGTCCAGTACGCTCTCTGCGCCTCTCGTTCTATCCAATTTTTTTGTAAGCACTTATGCAGGAATGGACATTTCTGTGACAAAGCATCCATAACCGATCAGACAACGTGCACAGGAAGACATGTAGCGACGCACATAAACATGTATGTATACATATATGTACGTTATATATATATAATGTGTGTATTCATATATCCATATACGTATATATGTATTTACATCTAGGTTCATGAAAATTTTGCACATATCCGTATCTAAGCATCTGTCGATGATTGCATCTGGAAGGCTGCCTTTGGTCAGAGTACATATGGCATTATGCTTAACTTATGTGTCTATGCTTAAGTAAGGCTTAAGTAAATAGATAGGTGGGTAGGTAGAGAGAACAAAAGATAGGTACAGACGCGCACGGATGGCTTGCATTTCTGTTTCTCGATTTTCGTTTTCTATCCACGGGTGTGTATGTGCATATGCATCCAAGCATTTATGCATATATGTATGCATGAACTAGGCGTCATATATGTGTGTGTACACCTACCTATATATATATATATGTATATATATATATATATATGTATATATTGTATGTCAATGTGCACGTACCCATTCGACTGGGCAAAATCAGCTCGATCACAGGGATGCTCTGAACGTCTTGACGGACATTTTGTTGAAACCTCGACTCAGGTACGGACGATTTGTACATGCCCACCCGGGCACCAGCTGCTCAGGCGAAACCCGCCCAGACTGATCGCTGTGTTGGGTTGTCATGGTGTGGTCGGCTTCGTGCCGATGCTTGCTTTGGCTGGAGACAGAGGTATGAAACACGGATCTTGTTAGTCACGTCCTGGCCGTCATTACAAGCCCTTCTCATTGAAAAGGAAGGCGCCAGAAGCACACATCTGTATTTCGACAAGCTCTTGAGGGCGGGCTGGTTCGTGCACAAATCTCTGGTTTCGCAGCTAAAGAAAGTGTTTTGTATTCGGTGTTCGAGGACATTGGGTGGCAATTTGTGCCTGGATGACTAGATGTCGTTAGTCAGCACCAAATCTTTAAACCACGGGAGAGCCGCTGCCAGAACGCTGGTCATCTCCGCTGCTCAGTTGAAGGCCACTTGGCATAGATCAACCTTACCTGTCCCACCGATCAAATTATACAGCACGGTCGTAGAGAGGCACAAGCCCTTTGCTTTGTATCCCAAGCCAGCAGGACGGTTCTTTGGACGATTCGGCTCAGATGCTAATCTTGCAGTCCGGGTTTTGTGTTAAATGTGTACTTCTGGCTTCGACCTGCTAGAAGCTATAAGAAACAGCCAGAAGTCGAACTGAGCACATGCCTAGACTTTGTCATGAAACCTTCACCTGGCCAGAGATTCAGTGCTCGCTTGCGATTCCTTGGGTCGTGCGAGTGCTTTGCTCTGGCCTTGCCACCTTGACGGCGATGACAACCAGTGCGACTACGACGAGGACCGCAAAACAAACGACAAAAACGACGATGATGGCGAGGGCGACGGCCGGTACTACTACTACTACTACGACGACGACGACGACTGCTACTACTACTACTACTACTACTACTACTGTTCCTGTGTTGCCGTTGCGATATTGTACTATTTCGACTATTCTAGCTGAGCTTCGACAGTTTTCGTTCCATTGCTGTAAAGATAGTATGAGCGCGCACGCACTATCGTTTTTTAAGGATTGGTTTGGTCATCAGGTCTTTGTAGCGGTTGCACTTCAGTCTATGCGATGGCTGTGTTTGCACGCTCATCTCTTACTTTGGTGTTTTGTCATAGCAGCGTTATGCCGACTCTAGCCGTCTGCATGGACACGACTTCTATATGTTTGTTGCCATGGCCAATCGTACCATGTGCATTGCTTTTGTCGCGTCCTCTTCGCGTGCCTCAATTTGTTGCTGCTCGCAATACTGCCGGCGGTACGCCCAAGGCCCGCAGTCCAGAGGCACAGGAGGAGCCGCTGCTTCTGCGAGCACTGCGAGAGGCCTGAGCCGAACCACCTGTGAAGTGTCAATGGAGGGAAGTTAGTACTGGGGGTTTGGGACACGCAGTAGATGTTGAACTCCTTGCAAGACATCTTTTGCGCTTTCAAACCCAGCCACTATATTGTTGATGATGCAATTCGACAGGCTTTGCAATAGAGTTTATCTGGAGGCACGGTTCATGTCTTATCATCCTCCTCGCCTTCATCTCCGTGCGAAGCATAAGCTTTAGCATAGTCAACGAAGGCAGAGTCTCGTTGAGGGTGCAGAATCCGCGGAACACCTCCCTGTGGCGCACAGGATCCTGTCAGAAAGTATGTACGGTCTACACAGCTCGGTCTTGCCATGGTTAGATCGTCTTTGTGGGCGCACCCTATGTATACCGAAAGCAGACAGGGAAGTGGAAAACTTGGACAACCTCCCTTGCAAACGCGGAGTAGGGACTGTCGGCTGCAAGTCGGTTATGAGCATGGACCAAAGATCACTACATTAGCTGTAAACACTCGAGGTCTTTGTGCAGCCTGCTGCCCCCACGGATCAACCAGCGCTGCGCCAGCTACTTGAGGACCGGGTTGTGGCGATGCCTCGTCCGTAAGCGGCGGGTCGCTGTTAGTTATTATCACAGAGGTTTGCAAGCTGACCCCCGTAGTTACGAACATCTCGTCAACAATCTGCCTTCTTTGAGCTGCAAGTAAGTGTTGTGAACCTCGTCAACCTCCAAAATGCGATGCGAAGCTCCACCAAAGCGCAAGAACATTCTGAGAATAGTATGGCAGAACAGTATGACGATGACGCTTTAGGGTCCACTACTGCATGTTGCAGGCAGTGTGAGGCTTTCAACAGCAATTGCTCACGAGTAGCATGCGATGCAGGACCTGTTCACTGCGGCGGAAGCATCGCTGCCGAAGGCTTGTGCAGTTTTACGGCAGACGTTTGATGGCTTCGTTCAATCCATGTCTGCAAAGGTGAAGGGCTGCCGGGTCTCAGCTAAGAAGTTAAGAAGTGCAACACTATAGCCCTTTTTTGAATGATTGTGCGCTTTTCCGTTTGATGGTAGTGCGGCTTGTCGTGTAAACCACGAGTCCTATCAAGTCATCTTGCTTCCCAGATTCAAGCCTGCAAGGATTACTGCAGGCAGGCCTTTTCCTGCATGAACCCCGAAACAGTCACAGATCCTGGACACTTGGGCCCCATGATCCACCGAAGTGTGCGTGTGCGCATGCATATATATATATATACACACACACACATATACTATATATATATATATATATGTATTTTATTAATATTGTATATTCATGTTTGCATGGGCCCATATGTGCATACGGTATGAAGGCGTGCGAGAACGAATGCATGGGAGGAACGGATCTGCGGATGTCTG